TAAGCGGAATCAAGTATTGTCATTCTCACGGCATCCTTCATCGTGACCTGAAACCCCAAAACTTACTTATCGATTCGGCCGAAACCCTCAAGCTGGCAGATTTCGGTTTAGCGAGGGTTCACCCCGGTCGACCAAGTTCTGGGAGGCCACTCACGCACGAGGTAATTTGTCTACTTGAAACGGCGAAATCGATTTCACCATTGAACTGATAATGGAATATTTGGAAATTTTAATAGGTTGTCACATTGTGGTACCGGGCTCCGGAACTACTTCTGGGATCACCATTTTACTCAACAGAAGTTGACATGTGGAGTGTCGGATGCATTTTTGGTGAATTACTCACATCATTTGCATTATTTCCAGGTACTTTTGTTTAGTCACGTGAAACATTCGTTTTCATCTTGGTTGGAGAAACCGTGTAACTCATCCCAGACGTCTTAATTATTTTTAATAGGCGAGAGCGAAATAGATCAACTTTTTAAAATTTTTTGGTTGGTCTTCTTTGATGTTCAGCAAAAGAAAATTCTTTGTCGCACTGTCACGTGACCACACATATTCATACATAAATGTAAAAAAAAATATGCAGGGTACTCGGAACGCCTAACGAAAAATTATGGCCCAAAGTAGATGAGTTACCAAACTATAAAATAGGTTTTCCTGACTGGAGAAAATATCCTTTAAGAGAGTGGTTTCCCAACAAGGACCACGACACCGTGGACTTACTGGAGGTAAGAACCTTTCCTATTTCACAAAGGACATTCATATTATGATAATAACAATAGCATTCTTACTCCGTGTGAACTTTATAATAGAAATTGTTAACCTACGTGCCGGGACAGCGAATCTCTGCCAAAAAAGCAATATGCCATCAATACTTTGATGATGTGAATTTCCCACGTGTATACAAAACCTTCGACTGATCGTCTAATAGAATCGACCCTTCCACCAAGAAGCAAAAAACGACAAAATTCGCCTACGCCTGATTCTTAGTAAAAAAAAAAAAAAGGTTTCAACAGACATTCACCTTAGAAGAAACACATATACACTTTTTCCTTGCATAATCGTAGTTTTTTTTTGGATTCGCAGCTTCCATAATAGCTTTTTGCGCGATAAATTAATTAAGAAAGATCTTGGATTTTTTAATTTACGACAGGTCATAATAATGTTTACGGAGAATAATGCAAACCAAGCTTACTAAGAACAATCCCCAGAAGAGCCGTAAAAAAAATAGAAAAAAAAAATAGAATAGAAAAAAAATAGAAGAAAAAACAAGTCACAAACAAGCAAGAGATTCTGGTTAGAAAGGGGCACGCGGATTTTCTTGTGTAGAATTTTTTTTTATCACAATTAGGTCATCATTTAGCCTGTAAACAATTTTCTATATACGTATATTAATAATTCTATTCAAG